CTTCTCTCTACTACCTACCTACCTACCTACTACTACTACTACTACTACTACTCTTCTTCTACTACTACTACTACCTCCTCCTCCTCCTACCTACTACGACGTACCTACCTAACCTACTACTCTCTCTCTACTACTACTACTACTACCACCTACTCTCTCTCTCTCTCTCTCTCTCTCTCTCTCTCTCTCTCTCTCTCTCTCTCTCTATCTAAAGCATTAACGAGTTGCACAGAAAGATGAGACATTGAGAAATTAGAGTGGGAAACAGTGAAACCATTTTTTCTACTAAGCGCCGTAGATAGAACTTATCAACTGATCAGAGAGAGAGAGAGAGAGAGAGAGAGATCAACATCTTAGAGAGGGGAGTCTCATTCTGTGTGAGAGAGAGAGAGAGAGAGATCAACATCTTAGAGAGGGAGAGTGTCGTTCTTCTCCGAAAGAGAGAGAGAGACATCTTACAGAGGGAGAGTGTAGTTCTTCTACTCGCTCAACATGTGAGTCAGAGAGAGAGAGGGCCATGTTTCGAACTCTCAGATTCCACAGAGCTGCAGCAACAGCCATCATCTCACACTCAAAGCTCTCACGCCCTACCCCACACACCCTAATTCCCCAACCTCCATTACAAGCTCACCGCCCTTCTCTTCTTCTCGCTACAATTTAAAAGCCTGAACCTCGAAAGATAGCACAAACATCACCCTAACCCCTCCTCAGAACCTCAACATCTGCTGCTGAAGCTAATTTGAAGCTCTAAAAAGCAAAACCAGATCAGGACCCATGCAAGAACTAGAGCACTTGATTCCAAGCCTCCTTGATGATATCCCCATATCCTATGCCCTTCGCCTTCCATTCTTGTACCAGTCGATTGCCAGGTCGGTCTCGTCGTCAAACAAAGCTTCCTCAAATATGTGCCAAATATAAAAATCAAACTGGTTGAATGGTTGAGAGTGTGCCACTATTTGAATTTTTTTTATTTTTTGTACCAATCAAATTGGGCTAATTTTTTGAGGGGATGTCTGTCCAGGAGTATTTTGGTCATTTGTTTTGGTGAAAAGTGTACATGCCCAAAATTTTAGCCGCATCAAATTTCTAAAATCAAAATAAAAATTCAAATAGTGAGGTGCTTGCAGCTGTCTATCAAGATCAAAGAGCTGAGAGGGTCACCAAATTTATTATTGAAAACATGTGACAACCTATTGGAAACATTTTATGTAAATAGGATCAACGAAAAAGTTTATATAAGGTCAACCTTATGCTATAAAAGTAAGGAGCACCTAAAAAACCCACAAGAAAAAGGTGTTCCAACACTGACAATCACTCAAATTGATCATCTAGACCTAAAAAAAGGGATTTCATGTCCTAAAAACACATTAAATGAACCGTCAATTTTCAAGGCTTTTATTTTATTTTATTTTTTTGATAGTCAATTTTCAAGATTTTCAATTCATTAAAGATCAACTCAATCTGAACAACTTTTGGAGATTTAAATTTCATAATTTGGAGTGGTTATAGATTCTCAGGTCATCATAGGGGCTTTTCGTACTGGAACTGCATCTTCTAGCAGGCTTTGGTGTATGCATTAGTTCTGTTTTTCTAAGGTTAAGGCCTTCTATAAAGTGCACTTACACACACGCACACACGCATACACACACACACACACACACTGAACTTTCACAATTCGAAAAACTTAACTCAGCAAGTTCATTGGGTTTTGGCCGTTACTGAGTTGGCCACCAAGTTAGAGATTTTGAATCCTAACTATAAGTGTTTGATGAAATTCCCTTGAGAAAATTATGACAAATTTGTTGGAACTTAATCAATTAAGCCCTTGTGCCAATTGGATACAAAATGGCAGATCCATCTCCCACCTCACCTGTCAACTACACATCTGCTTGTCCTTAGTTTTTCATTCAATGACTTGCAATCTGAACAATTGCCCAATTCTATGAAAATGATGGATCTTGCAACTATAAGCCTTCCAACTTGACCCAAAAAATGATTACAACAAACAAACATCCTAGTCATTTGCTGAAACCAACAAAAATTCATTTAATATCGCTAATCCTTTTTTTTTTTTGAGAACTGTTAACATGAAAATTCATTTGATATCGCTAATCCTTGGCTAATGGTTGTCATGGTTCTGGAGTTTAATCTTTCTAATTTACCTAGTTGGCTAAACAAGTTTCAAGGATCATTTGGAGAACCTTAGAGTTATCATATAGTTGTAGGAGTCTCTTTACCCCTCTAATAATGTTCACACTTTAATATGCTTATGAACATGCTCTGGACATCTATCCTTACTTTGGGCATGTATCATGGATCTTAAAATATCTTAGATGTTTATTACATATGCCATCCATTGTCTGCTCACTTGCAGACCTCTACAGTATACTAATCTACCATAGCACAGTGCATCCTTTCTGTCCATTGATTGAGCATTCTAGATGCATGTATATAGCATACCATCCACACCTTTATGTGGTGCACTGATCTATGTTGTGCTTGCTATCTGATTTCATTTTTCAAACCTTGAACTAAACCAAGACAAATCTATGTTCCAAACTCCTCCACCTCATTGGTATGATTTGGGTAACTCCCCAGACCATCCAGCAGCTTTACACGGCTTTCCTTTCTCTTTTCCTACCAAAAACTGGGCATAATCTTCGGATGGCCTCGATCTTTTCTTTCTTGTGGGTCAT